TAGCATGGACATTTGAAAAGTTTTCAGAGAGGTTGGAACCCCTTACAAACTTCAAAAGCAAAATTTCAATTTCATTGTAATATGTTCGGAAAAAAACAACAACATAACTAAAATCGGGAGCGATACAGCAAAACGTTGAAGTATATATACAATTTTCCACCAGGCGTAATAATACCTACTGCCACACAATTTCGTTGGAATAGGTAGCCAAAATTTGCAAAATACCAAATGTCGGGAGCGCTGTTGTATTGGAGGTGTACGAAAATGTTAACCTATATATACAATTTTGTGTCCGAGTAGAAGGCACTCATTACGAATTGCAGATAATAAATTTGAAATAACTCCGTTGAAAATCTTTCCTAAATAGTCAAAAAAAACTGACTATTGGAAGGTACCTTGAAAAAATTTCCATAACTCATTTTCTACGGAAAATCATTACAACAGACGGTCAATGCTAGATCGTCTTAGAATTTTGTTTCGATTAACAATATATACTTTATGGAGTTCCACATGACCGATTACAAAGTAAAAATCAAAAATTAATACACCTTCCATACTACGGTTAACATTTATTTTCGATTTTTATTAACCATTACACACCCACCAATTTTGGCTAAAAATAGTACCGTTTGGAGCCGTCGCAGTGATTGGGTTATTAGAATTCTATATGAAAAATACATTCAGAGGTCTACTATTAATAGAACATCCATTCACTAATGCCAAAGTTTGCAAAGCTGGTGCTAAAATGATTCCGATCTCCAAAAGTATAACTACCCACCGAAATCGAAACTTCGAAATTTCAAATTATTGCAAATTAGGTTTGCCCAAAAAGTTCTAAAATTATTTTTCCCGTAACGAGCCTAAAAAACAAAATTTGGTCTGTTCCAGAACTGCGAGAATGTAAAAGTTTATACTACGATAACCGATTTTCCCTTTATGATATCGAAGAAAATTGCAAAAATAGTAGATTCTTACATGTACTGGAACAGATCATTTGTAATTCATTTTGAAGAAAAATGAGACTGGGATCTTTATAATACCAAGAATTAGAGACTAATACTTAAACGCCAAAGCCTAAACCTAAAATTTTTTGTCCGAAGGGAGGGTTGATATTCTCCAAGACCCAATTACAATTAATTAATTGAAAATACATTTGCACCGATGACAATTGGTCTGGCAAGAATGTTCTTACTACTATAACCGATTATTCCTTTATGATATCGAAAAAAAATTCGAAACTAGTAGAAGATTCAGCCATATTAGAATGGCTGGACTGATTTTGACAAATTTTGTCAATTCAGAATGCCCTCTTGGCACTTTACAACACAGATTGGGGTTATTATATACAGATTACAATTAACGTCCAATTCTCACGAAAATTTTCACAAGGGTAAGGTTAGGCCTACTGTTTTCAAAAATGTCCGCAATATATTTAGAGGTGGAAATGGACCAACAACTAAAAATGTACAAATAGAAATCAAAATACACGAAATCTCGCATGAAGTTAGAGTTTAGGACAGCGGGTAAAATTGTGTGAAAAAAATACCAACATTTCCATTCTACCGAAACGCCGAAAAGAACTCACAGGCGATATCCAAAATACACATAAAGGCGAACTTCTGGCTTTTTATGCTGATTTCGTTGACGAATATTGTCAAATATCGTAGACAAGCAAATCACATAGATGAGTCTAAATTTTGGAGATACAGAGGGACCTCTTGCTTTTGGATATGAACAAAAACAGAAAAAAAAATCCTGATCACACAATTTAAGCCAATCGACACGCCTGGGAAGAGAGTTAAGGACAGGGAAGTATTCTAGGATTTTGGATGACCATTGGATTATATTTAGCTGTAAAATGGACCACAACAACTAACAGCACGACGGGGTGCGTAAATATTGGCCAAATGTCCCTGGTCAAAATGCTTAGGGTAACATCGGGGCAGGGCACTTTGACATAATTTCAAAAGCCAAATCTTCCAAAATGGATTTGGACACAGAGTTGTAGGATATCACATGGTCGGCTCCGCACGATTATAGCCTTTTAGAAAAATAGCAAAAATGCGAATGCTTTGAAAAGCTTATCAAACGTTGTGTGAACGATTTGAAATGTAGACAAAATCATCGATTGTAAAATTGAATTAAAAAATTATTAAATCGTTCTAAGGGTATTCTTCCCTTTCAACGTGCTTATGCAAATCATCACAATGCTATATTTTCAAAACCCGTGTAAATGAAATGTAGCGTGTTTCAAGCTTTGAATGGCCAACTGTTTTGTTTCGAACGATTTCAATACTTTCTACGCGAATCTACCTATAGAGGTAGACTCGATACGCTTTTAAACAATGCCATATAGATACATTTATACATACATATGTTTAAGTTTTAAATGGATTTCATTTATTTATTATTATTGTGACAGTTTGTTTTTTGGCTGTTTCTAATTCTTTTCAGTTATGCTTTTAGAAGTGCAATATTCTATATACTGCCTCTAGGCAAACAATATAAGAAACAAATATTTAAAAATTAATCAGCAGATTAGTTAAAACATGAAATAAGGCATTTGTTATTTGTCTTAGATTCAAATATAGATAAAATTTACAAATTTTGGGGTTTTGTAAATGTAATTTGCGTTTCTTGTAGACATGCTATAAATGCACTAAAATAATCTCCAATGAATAAATGTAGCTAAAATAATTATTAAAAAATAGTTATTAATTATTCACTCTGCATCTAAATTATTAATAATAATAAATTTGAATTTTGTATTTTATTTAAGTATTTATTTTTTTAGATTGATTTTAAGAAATAATTTTTGGTTCAATTTAAAAACAAATGATTTTTGTGCCGTTTTTTTTTTCTTCTTTTGGTTGTATTATTAAGAAAAATGGGCTTCTAATCAATATCTTTAGGGTTTTTCATTTGTTTGTATATTATTACGAAATTATCGAAGAATGTCTAAATAAATATGGCAACTCATAGCTGCCATACAAATTCAAAAGAGATACGTATTTTTATGTATTAGCTTTTTAATGAATATATTTACATGTTATATAAATGAGATATATTGTTGTTTTGGGAAATTTATATTATAATAAACTAAATTAAATATTTTTCTCTTAAATAAATTTTGTAATAAATATTTGAAATAATAAAGTAAACAACTTCCTGTGCAAATCTCTAAGCTATATAGGATTCATGCTATGGCAAATGGAACAAAAGTTGTAATTGTATAGGCAATACGTTTCCGTTAAGTTAAGTTGAACGATTGAAAAAAAAAAGAAACCAAATTCTCGTATTCAATATCGAAAAAATTCGAACCGGAAGGAATACGAATACAGGATGAGATAAAAAAACTGCAACCAATTTCAGACTGCTGTCATTTCTGGGCTACTCGTCCGACAGCTGTTAAAATTATTCCAGTGACAGCTCAATATATTGTTTACAAGCGTACAAAAGCATTTTGGTGAGAAATTTCCAGTAAACAAACAAAATTATCGTATTAATCGACCGTGGCATCAGAATAAATGCCGGAATACCAATCCGTTGGACTATTGTGTCTGGAGTATTCTGGAAAGCTAAAAAATACAAAAGTGCCGATCACCTCAAGCAAGTGCTTCGCCGGGAATGGACCAAAATACCGCAGAGCAACATTCGGGCAGCGTGTGACGCTTTCATTGACCGTATGAAGACCATAATTCGTGCCAAAGGTGACCAATTCGAACAAATCTAAATTTATTCTAAAATTTGATGCTATTTCCGACATTTTTTGCTTTCATTCAATAAAATTAAAAAAAAAAACATGTAAAAATTAGGCGTTTGATTTTGTTGCAGTTTTTTTTTATCTCACACTGTAAATGTTAGCTCGATTAAATTGAAAAATTCGTTAGAAACAACTAAATATCAAATGTTTGAATTGACCCCCGCTTCCTTTAACAAAAAAATTAATTTTCCTCAGCTTAAAATTCACAAATTCATTTCGATTAAAATGTTTTGGATACTGACTGCGGAAATTGGTATCAATTAAATATAAACTTTTATGAGTGAATCTCATTGGAGATTCAGAAAATTTTGTAGAAAAAAAGGAAAAATTTCACGAATTGTTCCATATCTTCCTTGAATAGTCCGATTTTTTTCTTCAATTAGCTTCAATTAGGAAACTAATTTCAAAAGTGTAATTAAATGACCTAATGTATGTATAATCCTTTAAGAATATGGAAATTTTGTTCCATTTGGCATAAAATGAAGATTCTAAGTTGAAAGGCTTCAGTTTGTATGTTTGAAAAATTATTTTTTTTCTCAACAACATCAAATAGTACTTAAAGATTTTGGTGTAACAAATCGGAAAGGCTATTTCTAAAAGTACTCATTGTATAGTGTAACCTTCTAGTAGTAACTTTTAGACCAAAGCTTAAGAAATTAATACTGTGCTAAACTCAGAAAATGAGACATTTGTTGGGTCAACGTTTAATGGCTGAGTTGAAAAATTGTGATACTTTAAATTTGTGACTATCGGAAGTGGATAAATCCGAGCAAACTTTTTGAAATATCTCCTAGACTTCATTCCTTTGTGAAGGCTTTCACATTAAATGCGGCTACTCACTTAGATACCCAAGTAAGGAATAAAGGCTACCATGTAAGAATGACTAATACAATGTATCCAAGATATAGTTTTCATCAGCTACCATTAAATCGGCCGACCTTTTTTCATATTCATTTTTTCTCACCAACCAGGCAGAAACTAGAACCTCTTGACAATTAGACCTTGATCAACTCTTGTGAACCTCCTGATTGTCCAGCAAACCTTTTTTGATGTTGTTGAGAAAAAAATTGATTTTAGGAACAGAAATTCTACAATTTCTTTTGCACAAGGTATTCTATGCTTTTTAAAAATTTTCTACAAATTTGCATTCAGTGTTTTCTTTTAGTTTTGAATATCTCATCAAGCACTACAATCCAAACGAAAATATATCATGACAATAATATATACCACGCTTACGTAATTTTTCATTCTATATTATTGTGTTTAAATGTATTTTCTTTGCATAAATATTTGATTTGTAAATAATTCCGTCATAATATAGATACTACTACATTATTTTTGTTTTCCATTTGTTGTTTTTAATATTTATATACAATCTAAGTAAGCAACAAATACTACATTATATTGTTTTATGTTTTTCTTCTTTTCTTTTAGCTTGTTGTGTATTACTCTCGGGAAAAACGCCATAAAATGTCTGCCTTTTCGGGTCAAAATTTGCTTATAGAAAAATAAATAGTGTGTTCCTTTTAGCATTCTTTCGTATGGGTTTCTTTGTTTGTTTGTTTTTGTATATAAAAATATATGTAGATATATGTTTGTAGCAAATCTTGACTTAAAGTCCTGCTTTACATTCAGTTACGTTTTTTTAGTCTCATGGAGTGCCTCATAGGAAGTTTTCTTTATCCCTTTACTTGGTGAATTTCATTTCAATCTTCATCTAGCGCTGTTTTATTTGGCTCTGGGTTCCGAGGGGGAGGGAGGGGAGGGTATTCAATTAGGCTACCGAATCACTTGATTTCATATCTCTTTCACGAAAAAAGCCTCTCTCCGTTTTACATTCCCTTATGGTGACCGTCTCATAATTCACTGTCACATCGGTGATAACAACTTTATTGGAAATGTTACATTTGCTGGGTAGCCAAAAGCGTGGTGGTAACGCTGGCGGTGACAATGGTGTTAGTGGGGTTGACTTTTGTTTGGGAGGGGAGTTTTCAAAAATTGCATCTAATTGTTGCTGACGATGTTGGTGCTGGTGGTTTTGTTGTTGCTGCTGATGATTATGGTTGTTGGAATTAATGTTGTTGTTAATCAAAGGCAGATGATTGTTTTCCGCTTCATGTTGACTGTCAGCTTGTGATGAGGATTCATCGTCATCATCATCTTGCTGCTGGTGATGATGCTGCTGCTGTTGTTGATGTCCATTATACTGCTGGGGTTTTTCTGAGGGGGTTGCCTGTTCAGGCCTTGAGGCTGGTGTTTCCGGTGAGAGGGGTTCAGTTTCTGCCTTCAATGGTGTGGAAATCGGTGTTGCGGTATCAACTGAGCAATGGATCTTGGCAGGGGGTGGACCATCTGGCGAAGTTTTAATTGTAACACCAATTTTACCCGACTCTTTTAATACTTCAGCCTTACGCTTTGTGCCCGCAACTTCTTTTCGACTTAATGGCTGGTCCTCTGAGCTGGACGAGTTGGAATCAGCTTCTGGTATAAAGGCCAAGGAGGAATTTGTGCTATTTGTAACGGCATGTTCAACAGATTTCTGTCGTTTATTTTCCGCATGGGTATGAGGTGATTCTGACCGCCGGCTATTGGAACGTTCCGCCTTGTGGTGATGATGGTGGTGGTGATGATGATGTTTTTTCTCTTTATCTTTTTCCTTGTCCTTTTCGTGATGGTGATGGCGATGATGTTGCTGCTGTTGAGTGACATCATTTGAGGCAGATGTTGATGGTGAAGCTGAACTGGCCGATATCGATTGTGATACAGAGGAGTTTGCCGGGCCCGTTGATGATGCTCCCACATGACTGTTGCTGTGACCATCATCATCATTGAACGTGTATTCATCCTCTTCAGATTCTGGTTCGGGGTCACGTTCTTTTTCCTTCTTTTTGGGACCCCGTTTGGAGGGTGTATTTGACGACTTGTTGCCCTGTTCATAGATTTCAATGAGCCTGCGATCAAGTATATTTACCTCGGGTTCCCATGTGTTGTAGCGTTGATTCCAACCTTTCCATTTTACACGATATTCCACAACGCCCTGGAATTAAGAGAAGAATTGTGAATTTGTTACTATGACGAATAAGAAAATATTAGGCAATATTTCTAAATAAAGATGTTAGGTCTTCTTTATACAAAAAAATAAATGGAAGTGTTTCTACCTCTATAGAAGACCCACCAGAAGAATTTATAGCAGGCCAATTGTAGATTCCTTATAAAAAGACCTTTGGTGCACCTTCATGGATATAGTGAAAGTCTTATTTTCTTATATGCACAAAAAAATAATCTGCTTAAAGAAGACCGAAGGCCTATGGCTTCAGTCTATAAAGACCTACAGAAGTGTGGATCAAGAGAAAACCTTTGGCTCTATAAAAAAGTCAACTCAAACAAATCCTAACACCTAGGACTTATGCATAGGGTGAGATGAAAAAACTGCAACCAACTTCAAACTGCTAAAAAATTCCAGTGACAGTTCATTATATTGTTTACAAGCGTACAAAAGCATTCTGGTGAGAATTTTCCAGAAAAAAAGTTATTCGTGATGGAATTCAAGCGTGATAGTGTGATTTCTTTTTATTTGGCTGGAAAACCACAAGTAACTATCGTTAGAGCACTCCAGCATTTAAATGTGAATAAATCTTTTGTGTCTCGTACCATCGCTCGTTACCGTGATACTGGTAGCGTAGTTAAAATGGCTCGAAAAGTAAAAAAGCGACTTGATCGAAACACGATTCGCAGTGGCCGAAAAATGGCTCGTGAGCTGAACATATCGCAACATTTCATTCGGCAAATATTGAAAAATGAGCTCGGGGTAAAGCCATTGAAATTCCAAAAAGTGCAAGAACTTACACCGCAACAGAAAGAAAATAGACTCAAAAGAGATAAAGGGTTGCTTCGCTTGGCCGAAAGAGGTGAACTGCCGTATTTGGTTTCCTCCGACGAGAAAACATTCGTTGTCCAGCAGCAAACAAAATTATCGTGATTACTTGCCAAAGAGGTCAGCTGAAAATGTGCACCTTCGGTTGGCCACCAGAACTCAAGCGCCGACCATGGTGATTGTGTCGGCCGCCATAACAGCCGATGTTCGCTATCCGCTCGTATTAATCGATCGTGGCATCAGAAAGAATGGTTACAAAATTAGGTTCCTCGCTTTATATCCTGCTCACAATGGTCACCAAAATCTCTGGATACCAATCCGTCGGACAATTACGTCTGGAGTATTTTGGGAAGCAAGGTTCGCACTAAAAAATAGCAAAGTGTCGATCACCTCAAGCAAGCGCTCCGCCGGGAATGGGCTAAAATATCGCAGAGCAACATTCGGGCAGCGTGTGACGATGTCATTGGCCGTTTGAAGGCCATAATTCGTGCCAAAGGTGACCAATTCGAAAAAATCTAAACTTATTCTAAAATTTGATGCTATTTCCGACATTTTTCGCAGTTTTTTCATCTTACTCTGTATAAACGTCGTGGGGTCTACGACGAATATTTAGGTATGTTATAAAAGAGAGTCAATTCAAAGAAATTCTAACATTTAAATCCCCATTCGTGGACTAATGAAGGTACTTAGTTATGGTCATGCAAAGTCTTCTATTTATAAATGACCTATAGAAGATATTTTTTACCCAAAGACCTATCAACATCATTTTTACTTTTTCTATTCATAGAATTCAGTCCATTCACAGAAGATCAATCGATATTTGTTTAAAGAAATCCTATAAGAAATATTTTTTTTGTTAATATGAAAGGGCTAATGGGGTCTTCCATCCATGAATACGTCTATCAAGCAGTCTTACTAAAAACAAGATCTTACGGATAGTATACTTTACAACACAGTATATTTTTAAATGAAGTAAATAAGGTATTTAATTTGTAGAATATATAAATTATTTAAGGATTTTATGTCTTATTGTCAAAAAAGCTAACATTTTGAATGAAATTTAATTTTGTATTATAAATTCATTTGCCAGATAGTTTTTTGTATCGTGTGCCACAAATATGTTACAGGACAGAAACGTTTCAAATATAAGGGTTACATTAACCATGAATTTGTAACAATTATTACGCAGGTAAGACATTCCAGCAACATCTTCATTAGTCCACATAAATTATCCAGAAATTTCGAAGAAAACATAGCATTTGAATTTTGAAAATGGCGCCAATGTAATCGAAACAATGCAACTAATATTGAGCAAAACACACGTCAGGATAACAGGACATCTCAAGGGAAAGGTGGTAATAAAACAAAAACATACGCCAGCATAAAAACGTATTCGAAAACGAAAATGAAATGTCGGCAGCGGGGAAAACAAATGTTTTAAACAGAAAATAAATTATACATCGATGAAATAGAACGTGCCTACAGCATTTACAGATGTAGGGATGGATATGTTTGTAGGGAGGAGCTGAAAAACAAATGATGCGGAACATCAGTAGTTGGAAAAAGTAATTTCTTCTGTCGCCAACCTAAAGACTTTCGTGCAGCACACACAAAATGTGTCTGGTGGTTGGGAACAAATAGAAGCAGATACAAATGTCGACAGCGAGCCCAAACAATAAGGATGCTTATTAAAATAAGGCACTAAAAAAACAACAACAGCTGTATGATGAATAACGAAAAACACAAAAATGTACCACAAAACAACGCAACACAAATGGCATAACAAGCAAATATATAGAGGTAGAACTAATAACTCATTAGCTGTGTAAATGTACACTTCAAATGAAACACTGTCAGGTATCGTACAAACAACACGAAACGTCCTACTAGCCTGGGATCAAAGTGAGAAAATGTAAAGAAGAAAAATAGGGATCAGTTTAAGCAAATGTTTAGACAATGCGTACTACGGCTTAAATGCATACAAACACACATTCACACACACACACACACACTATCTAAACAGACAGGAGGAAATTCTTTAGGTTTATTTGCTAATGGGTAGGTTCTTACCTAGCAAATTAGTTGCATAGGGATTAGTTGCCCTACAATGTGCAAATATTTGCAGTCGGGTAAAATATGTTCAACGTATAGAGGAAATTATGATTTTCTTCAAAATAAAAATAAAAAAAAGTTTAAGATGTATACATAAAATTGGGCAAAATGTTAACTAATACTTTTCAAATGTAATAATTTTGTATTTTCTCGACTCACATTCCGACTCCAACAAAACTTTCTTAACCGAGCCACAATTGGCAAACGTAGGTCGCAGGATTAGAGTTGTGAAATGGATATAGAACGTTAATACTAATATGGGGACATAAATAAAAAAATGATAATCTTAATGTTTGGAATATAGACACTGGTAAGAGTAAATTATTGAAAATGAACTGGAAAATCAATGATAAGACATATGCCTCGATTTAGCGCTTAAAATGGCAGATTCGAAGATATTTTACAAATCAACCAGTTGAGCGGGATTGAAAGTTTGAAAATGCAAAATTTCCACTAGATTTAGCATTGATCCAAAAAAAGTATTGTAATTATGACTTTGTGCATTATTTTTGGCGGCTTTTGGGTAAATGTGGACGAAAATATGGCGCAACGAAAAGGCTAGACACACAAAAATCGGATTAATTGTCTTAGTGCAGTGGGAAGTTTGGTGACGAGAAATAAATTAGGTCCATTAAAAGACAAGTAAGAAGGCCGCCAAGTTTATACCAGGTATGGAGACTTTGCGTGTATGAATAACGAATTGAAAGGTGGGCGCAGAAAACGCTGCAAAGGACAGGCATACCGTCTTTAGAGAGTGTTTTAAATCTAGTCACTTCAAGTTAGTCACATGCCGCTGGTTAGTACCAACTTCCCGAGTTCAACTTGATTAAGAACTGGCACCGCTGGCTCTGTTGTTGCTGCAGCAGGGTGACTGCAACGATTCATTTTTCCTGTGGAAATAGGGCTCCTTTCTACATTTGGTACTTAATTATCAAATTCTGGCTGGATTGACCCCACGTCGTCTAACTGCCGTAGTAAGTTCAACTGCTAAAGTATCAAGGACAAGTTGGCCACCAACTACCTCAAGGTCTAAGGTGTATGGTAACTATGCGGCGCCGGTGGGGTCAGTCCATGTTAGTGCTACGCAATGGAAAAAATATTAATTCTCAATATGACGCACTTAGAACTGCAACAGGGTGCATCATCATGATACCTATCGACCATCTACGTGAGATTGCTGCTGCAAAACTTCATACCATTCACCATCTACTGAACAAGCAACCTCTCCCCAGGCTTGTAAGGAAAGATCTTCATGATCTAGGGAGAAAGGAGAGGAAGTATAAGAGAGACCCTGTCAATCAATAGAACCATCAAGCAAATTGCATAGTAGTCACTCTAACTCGGAAACAGAAGTTATGAAGAAATACAGAGTGAATATGATCCTCGGAGATCATTCGCAACCAATAGGGTCCGAATTTATAGCAGTTCACAGTACACCTGTCAAGCTACGCATTCTCACCTAACTAGAGTATCGTTATGGACCATGGTCATACAGGTCGTATCTTTCTTGAACTTGGAGTTGGAAAAAAGATCCAGATTAGATCTAAGCAATTCGAGCTGGTACAGGAACAACCAAGGTGGTACATTGCCAAATAACGACTATAGAGTCGCCCTCATTCTCCCTTTTACAGAATATAAAAATATTCGCCATGAAATCCATAGCTAGTGCTATCTGATATGGATAACAAAAATCGAACCTCCATAACCAGGGAAGAAGAAATAACGATGCAATAAACTCTACAAGGAATATAATTCTGTGTTAATATTTTACAAGGAGCATGATCCCATTTTCTTCGGATGGGATTTAATTTGAATTCAAAACTAAATGATATACGCTTAAAAAAACAAAAGGTACAAAATGACCCATACACCATGGATAACATTATTTTTGCCATGAAACTATCAAATAATTCCTTTAAATCTTGACAATATAGGAACATCGGATTAACACCTCAACAGATTTAAAATTTCTACATTAACTTACAAATCTATACCAAATCCAAATAACCTACTAGTGACTAGTCTATAGCTTTCTACTTAGAATTTTACTTTAGGATATCTTCATATTGCCTTACGGTTGTCCTTGCTGGGAACTTCTTAAGAATAAAAGTACCAAAATAGGAATTTAAACTATTTTATAACGTTTACCAAAATTGGAAATAGAGGATATTTTACATCAAACTAAATCTCACATTCATGTTTTAAAATATTTTAATTACCTATACAAAAACAAATCTCCACACAATTTTTTGTTGAGCTCAGGAGAACAAAAGTGATTTACAGTAACTTTGTCAACCTAAACAGCGTGCAGACCTTCTCAGCAAGTTCGGTTAAAAAGAAATTCTCAAAACCTAAATTTCATATGGAACGAACCACTGTGCAATAGCATTACTTTCATATAACTAACTATCTCTGTTTCCAAAAGTGATAAGACAATTGTTGCATTTTTTACCGCAAAAATAAACTAATTGTGAATAATATAAAAATTATAAGAAAGGTAAAAACGAACGACTAAAATGATAGCAGATGACGAAGAAAAATACATAATTTCATACAGGCAACAATAATAAAAATAACAACAAAATTCGAGCACGAGACAACACGCAGACACACACACCATGTAACGTAATGCGTAAATAAGGAAGGAATACAGGCGAGGTGGAGAACCTACATATTGTCGCTGTCTTCCATCGGTTCATGGGCAATTTTGTGAATGAACACAAAACAGGAACAAGCAAGGAAAAAATAACAGCTGCCAGCAGATGTTAAGAGGATTACAGTTGGCAGGGCAAATTGGTTGTTTGGTTGGCGATGATGATGATGGTGGTGGTGGTGTTGCTGATGATTTTCTTGTTGTTATTGTTGTCAATGCCTTGGGTGTTTTAACCAGTAAACAGAAAGAAGCAACAAGGACTCCAAAGTCATTTATGAAACTGAAGGACAACAAATGTCATAAAATTTTACAAGGTAGATATTTGAGAAAAGTACTTTTCATCAGCCAATACTTGGCATAACTAAATTAAAAGCAAAAATTATAATTTTATACTCTTTAAAACACCTTTATTTTAATTTGTTTACATTACCTTTCTAATGCGTTTTTGTATAATACGCTCCGCAGCGTAAACGCGATCATCTGAGCTGCCCATAATGTTATCCAGTTTGAAGCCTTTAAATCAACTATTGCTCCAGTTAAATGTTTTTTAATCACTTTTTATCTCCTTATTAGCACTGGCAATAATTTTGCGCGCACACAATACAAACACAATTTATTTTTAATTTGGCAAATATTTGTGTTGTTTTTGATATCTTTCGACTTCTTTTTTACGTTGTTTATTATTTTTGCATAGTATATCTATGCGCCTTGCTTTGACTTAACACAGTCTTCTTTCATAACAAAATTGTTTTTATTTATTTTTTTGTTTTTGTAGTTACATTTATGTTAACTTGTTTCTTTATCATTTACTTTTAACGCGCCATCCACAATTTCAACCAAGGAAGAAACTTCTTGTTTCTTCTTTGAAAGCAAATAAAATAAACACAGCAGACGAACCAGAAATAAAACAAAAACGACACAAAACACGTCCTTCACACGTCTATATTGGCATCTCTTTCACAATCACACACTCCACACCGGTGTGTTGGCTTTACGTCCATCTATTTCTATCTCACTCTGGCAATTTTCCCAATTTTTTCTACATGTTTCTTTACAAAGACGATAAAAAGCCACAACGAAATGAGTTTTATCAATGAAATTTGACACTTATTTTATAGCTTTTCTGATTTAGTTTTTTGTTAATGTTAACTTTATTTCATAAACTTTATTACTGTTGCTTTTGTTATTGACAACTTTGTTGGTGTTGGCTTGAGTTTTTACGAGAAATTGTTTACTCAAAAATATGTTTCACTCGCGTCTCGTCGGTGTTTTCTACGTTAGTGATGACAGCTGCTGCTGATGGTTGATTTGTCTTGTCTAGTGCCAAAAAAAAATGTTGCACTAATCGATAATTCGCTGTAATCGAAAATCGATTAACAATGTGGATTGCATTTATCGGTGTAAAGTTGATGAATTTATTTTCGTAGCGTTTACACCATGTTTAAACGAAAAAGTCAGTACATTGCTTATGAGAGAAATTAGGAGGATTGCTTTCGAATCCCCATGGTAGAAGAATACAGGTAGATGCATCATGTTTACATATATCTACGGAAATAAATGGATTTCAAATTGATTTTCGATACATTTCACTAATTGGAATAATTTTTCGTTCCAGATTTAGAATTGCAAAAATATTTTGACAGCTCATTGTAACAGCAGCTGTGTTTATGCCCCTACCTGTATCATTTCATCATGCGAATCCTTATTAATTCTCATGGTAGAAAAATGCAATAAATATTTCTTCAAAAATAAGTATATTTGTATATTTTTTCCTACACGACGCCAATCGAAGGTTGTTATAATATGCATTTTTTAACGATATTTACAAATTTACAAATTGATTCCAAAATTGGTTTGACAGTTCGTTCCCAGTAGCTGTGTCGAAGCGTCTACCTATATTCTTCTACCATGTTAATTCTTTTGTCTTTACCTACGTTTACATAGTGTACATTGAAAATTTAAGATAACTTTCTAAAGCGGAATTAAATTAATTTCAACATGAAAATTTAAATTTTCTAGAAAATGATTTCTGTTCAATTGTTGAGCATTTCCAAAAATTGATTCGAATTTCCAAGTATAATTTTCTCTGATTTAATGTAAATAATGTATTAACACTACTTTTTTAGGCTAATAAATCTTTTTTTTTAATAAAAATGACAGCAAAAATGTAAAAAGTCAAAGTCGACTGTCGTTTAATATGTCACAATATATGACATGCCATAAAACAAGCTACCTTTGCTCATGGTACAAAATGGAGGTAGAACAGCTTCGTATAATTACAGAAATACAGCCTTGAGACTGTGCCAACTTTCTGCCAGAAATATTCAAAATTCAACAATTTGTTTTCAGTTCTTTTATATTTTGTGTTATTTATAAATTAAATAACGCAAAAAATAAATGAAATCCACACTGTTCAATCTTTGAACTGCATAGCAAAACTAGTTAATTTGATTTGTCAAACAAACAGTTTGTTTAAAAAAGTATTTATATTTTCTCTGTTCTAGAACTGCACGAATGTAAAAGATTTTTCTACTATATCCGATTTTCCCTTTATGATGTCGAAAAAAATTGCAAAACTAGTAAATTTTTGCAGGCTCTGGAACAGAGCAAATGGTAAAAGGTTTACCGTGTCTTACATAATATCGGCCAAGAAGCATGGCAGAGGAATAAAGGTAGACATATCGACACAGCTGAACTGTCAAACCAATTTTGGCATTAAAATTTTTAAATGAGAAATTATTTAAATTTGTAAAAAATCTTGAAAACGCAAATTAAAATAACCGCAGACTGACGTCGTATAAGAAAGCATATAAAAATCTACTTATATTTGAAATAAGAGTACGTTTATGTATATTAGGGTTAACCCACTCGATTTGGATTTAAATTGTCATATCCACTACTTTTACTTCAAATAAATCCTCTCAAAGTAGGTTAACCCTACAAAAAGTTCTAACGTAAACATGGCATAACATTTTAAAATTTTTGACAAATCAATGTTCCCAAGCGTTGATGCATCTACCTCTAATCTTCTACCAAGAAGACTGATGATAACCCATTTTATACCCTATTCAGACTGCAGTCATTTCTAAGCCACTCATCCGACAGCTGTTAAAATTATTTCACCAACAGCTCATTATATTGTTTACAAGCGTACAAAAGCATTTGGTGAGAATTTTCCAGAAAAAGGTTATTCGTGATGGAATTCAAGCGTGATAGTTTGATTTCTTTATATTCGGCTGGGAAATCACAAGTGGCTATCGTTAGATCACTCCAGCATTTAACTGTAAATTTGTGTCTTGTACCATCGCTCGTTACCGTAATACTCGTAGCGTAGCCCGACGTCAAGGAAGTGGACGGAAGAAAACAGCAATATCAGCAGAAATGATTCGAAAAGTAAGCGACTTAATCGAAACCCGCGTCGCAGTGACCGTAAAATGGCTCATGAGCTGAACATATCGCAATATTCCATTCGGTAAATATTGAAAAATGAGCTCGGGGTAAAGCCATTTAGATTTCACAAAGTGTAAGAACTTACACCGCAACAGAAAGAAAATAGACTCAAAAGAACTAAAGAGTTGCTTCGCTTGGCCGAAAGTGGTGAACTGCCGAATTTGGTTTTCCCTGATGAGAAAACATTCGTTGTCCAGCAGTTTGTAAACAAACGTGTTTACTTGCCAAAGATGTCAGCTGAAAATGTGCACCTTCGGTTGGCCACCAGAACTTAAGCGCCAGCCATGGTGATGGTGTGGGCCGCCATAACAGCCGATGCATCAGAATAAATGCCGAATATTATCGCGAAAATATTCTGGAGGGTGCATAAAAGCATTGGGCACGCAAAGATTTTGGCCGCGGACATTCCAACAGGACCCAACATCATTGCACTCAGCATGCGCCACCCAAGAATGGTTAAAAAGGAGGTTACTGGATTCATTTCTAGCGCACAATGGCCACCAAAATTTCCGGATACCAATCCAAGGCAAGAAAGGTTGGTACTAAAAAATACCAAAGTGTCGATCACCTCAAGCAAGCGCTTCGCCGGGAATGGGCCAAAATACCGCAGAGCAACAGCTGCGTGTGACCGTTTCATTGACTTTTTGAAGGCCATAATTCGTGCCAAAGTTGACCAATTCGAACTAATCTAAACTTATTCCAAAATTTGGTGTTATTTACGACATTATTTGCTTTCATTTAATAAAATTTAAAAATTATGGCGTTTGATTTAGTTGCAGTTTTTTTTATTTTAACGTTATCCGTCTGTCTGTCGAAATCACGATACAGCCCACATTACTTTTATTTGCTTAGCATGGTTGGTATTGCAAACGATATATCGCCATATAACGGTATTTTATTAAAAATTATATTATTAAAAACTGATATTTGTAGGTCATGATGGATTCTAGCTCCGGTGGCGAAACATTGTATCTATAGGCCAATGTTTTGGTGTATATGATTTTTGCCACATTTTTCCACGAATTTGTCTAAAAATTGGTATTTGTAATTCATAATGGGTTCTATCTCCGGCGGCAGAACATTGAATATTTAGGTCCACGTTAGTACCCACGAAATTGTTTCAAATTTGGTTTTTAAGAAGATTTGGATGACGACAATCCTTGAACTAAAAATTGTCCATAGGCGTTCCTGTTTTGGTATGGCCCCCATGTAACGGCCGCACCTACTTTATGTTTTTTAAGAAGTCTAACAGCATTATCCAAACGGACTTACTGGTATTTGTACCAAAAAGTTTGGTTTTTTAGTTATCCACAAAGCCTTTATCTCGTTAAAAATATATGTTAAGCCCTTATTGACTTATATTTTATCATAGCTCTGCAAATCAGAGTTCTTTTCAAGCTTCAGCAAAACCCTAATCGTTTTTAAATTTTATGGTAACATAACTATACTAAAAAGAATAAAAAATAAAAATTTACCTCTTAAATAAATATCTAATGATTATGCTAATGATTTCAATACCTTCCCCCTACATGCAAACTTTTTTCCTACCACTCTATTAAAGTTTATCTATAATCACTTTAACGCCCTAATAATGAGTTTCCCTGATTTTTTTTTTGGTGCACTTAAATGGTTGACACCATACCATATGAAATTATATAGCCCATACACACACACTCAAACATATCCCTACACCTTGTCACTTTGGTTTAATCGAATGTTAAATATGAACAGGTATCAGTCGGTGTTAATTAAATATTTCTCAGTCTGCTGATTTAATGTTCATCACCATTGGGGTCTGTGTCTGCCTCTTGGTCGTATCGGCCTGAATTGAAAGTGACTGTATAATTGAATCACACTACGACATTCGCACACACACAAACACACACACATACATCCATGTATGCCTGCCTGCCTGTCTATAAAACAAACAGCCAGATATCGTCAATTGTTTTATGGACAACCTTTTAGGCTGGCGACAAACACAAAAGCAGTGATTGAGTGAAAAATCAGAGTGGCATCACAAAAATTTGACTCCGCCACCCATCTCCCCTCTTTATTATTATTCTTATTATCCACCAGCTTGGCAATTTTGATATCTAACTGAAAATAGACCAAGTGACAACGTCACACATCCGTTTGCCGAAATATTAGTGACGAAAATTCATTCATTCTTTCATTCGGGAGCGAGCAAAGTGAGTGCGTAATCTAATCGCAAATGTTTGTTAGGACCTAAAATACATAAGTGTGAGAGTGTGTGTGTGTATGTTGCATGCATGTACGATGTACTTACCGTTGGATATTTTGGCTTTATAGGCTAAAAGCCAAAAATTGCCTATTTGTAATGACGAACATAGGCGAAGCGGAAGTTATTGACATCTAATGAAATCTCACTTCTTTAAACTACGTCACAGTACATATACGTATGCATACATGTATGTAAAGAGAATTTAGCTGGAAACACATTTAGAATTCCAGGAATTAAATTCAGCGAAGAGTTGAGAAATCCAATTAGCCATAAAAGAAAACAATATTTGGGTAAAGTTTTAGAGTCAACTGGAGAACTTGGTGAAAAATTCCTAAAAATCTACTATTTCAAATAAAAGTTGAAATGATCCATTATTTTTTTTTTAAAACGTTTGTGGGATTAAAAATATTCGTAGTTATGTGGACAATTTTTGAATGACAATTTCGTATTTTTTTGAATGAAAGTTATGGCCGCTAAATCTTGTGCGATGACCTCGGAATTGGTGGGCTTCTGCCCAGCCCCATAATCTAACTCCATGCTAGATTATGCGTCGATTGGTTAATAATTGTTGCCTGCAGAGCAGGATCAAAAT